CTTGTGGTTTAATTATTGCTGAGGACAGCAATTCTCTAAATCTGGGAATGGTAGGCTTGCACCTAAGAACTGCTGCAATTCTTCTATCAGGGGAGATATTCTAACTCTTTTAATTTTTTGTTATTTTTATAGTATTTTGTGTGCTATATATATAAAAAAAATTTGAACATGTTTTCTGAGCAAGTCCCAGGTTTAGATATGCTTCCCCTAGTTAAATTGCCTGATTGATCCTAGGAAACATGTTTTGTATGAACTTCTGGCATGATATTGTATGGGCATGAGTAGACTTCATGATTGCTCCTTTGTCTGAATTTTGTGTTTTGAATGATTAATGATGCCTGATGTTTCTTTTGGAAGTCTAGCTTGACATCATAGCTGGTGAGGTTTTGTGCTTAAACACGTATTTTATTCTGAGAGACCTCATTGTGATAGCATTCTAGAACTTGCTCTGTTTCTCTAAGATGCATGCATTGGTTAATATGATAAAGGCATTTTGTTCTTGTTAACTATTGGCCAAAAATAACCACCTGTATGAATTTTTCCATTGCTAACCCTTTTGAGCCTGAGCCTTTTTGTTCATAATTCCTGATTGATGGCTTAGCCTATATCCATGTGACTTACCTTAATTGAGATTGAATTACTGATGTGTTGAAAAATCAAACAAAGAAATTGAGGTAAGATCCACAAAGGTCAAGTAATTAGGGGAGGTAAAATTTCATCTGAGCCCTTAAAACAAAAGGGAGAAAAAGAGAAGAAAAAGCAAGAAAAAGGAAAAGGATGAATGTAAAGAAAAAAGTGGTTGATAGGAATTAATTCTCGAAATTCTGTGGGAATCTGAGTGGAGCAAAAAATCATTGAGTTAAATGTGTTAAAAATGAAATAATACCAGTTTTTCAATCTCATTGTTGTTTGAGCTACTAACCATAAATTCCTACCCTTAAGCCTGGCCAAGTTACAACCTGTGAAGTCCTTTTGATCAATTAATGCATGTGTTAATGTTCCTCATCATTAGGAACTTGAGAATATGATCAAGCTTATGGTAATGTTATTGCTGTGATGGATTGAGTGATTGTTACTCCCTTAAACACTTGAGTGTTGAGCGTTATATGATTATCTTGGTGAGGGGTGTCCAAGCTAGATTCTGACATGTTCATGAGAATAGAAGGCATTGTTAGGAGTTCTTTGCATTGATTCAGTCATGCTTAGCATAATGATCTCTTGATTGTCTGTGTAATGTTGTGTTCGAATAATTGATTGTTTCCTGGATTGAGTCTTGTACATTGCTGGGGACAGCAACGTTTAAATCTGGGAATGATTTGATGTGCCTCTGGCAAGTGTGTTTTTCTGTGTTAAAATTGATAAGAATTGAGTCACAAAAGAGCAATTTAAATGACATATTTGCTAATTATATTGATTCTTTCTTCTCAATTATACTTTTCACTTATTGGTTGTGTTTTTACAGGAAAAAGAAGTAAAAATTATAAAAGCCTTTTGATACAGACCAGCGCCGGATTGGAAAGGTTACACAGTACAAAAGACAGAAACTTGGCGCAAGTTGGCACCAAAATGGCGCAGACCCGCGCCAGATCACGGAAACTACAGCGGAGAATTTCCAGCGGCGCATCATGGCACCAAAGTGGCGCCAATTGGCGCCACATGCATTACTATTACATGGCGCCACTAGGCGCCCAACAAGAAGAATTCTTGGCGCCATTAGGCGCCCAAAGCAAAGGAAATTGGCGCCAAGTGGCGCCCAAAAGACTAAGGATGGCGCCAACTGGCGCCGGGTTGCAAGAAAATAACACCGTCTTTCCACGGGGGTATTTTTGGAAGAAGAAAAAAAAAGTTTATAAATAGGATCCTTGTGCTAGACCTAGGGATCTCATCATTCCATTCAGAGGAGGCCGACGGCAGAGCTCAGGAGATTCTTCCACAGTTCTTCTTCTTCATCTATTTCTCTGTAATTTTATGCTTTCGAATATTGAATCATTTTCAGCCATGATTATGCTTGGCTAGTTTTCTTTTATTGTAGTTAGGGTCACGAGCCCTATGTGAACCCTTGTTACGATGGATTGATTTAGCTTTATTTATTTATATAATTATCTTTGTCTCTACCTTGTGCGTATTTTCTATTCTCTTTATTAGAACTGATCAATCTGATAGTTGGGAATAGTTTGAGGGTTAGAACCCTAGATAGGAATATTAGGGTTTTGATCTTGAAAGGGGGTAGGGCAACAATTGGTATGCATGCTAGGAATAGATGTGTATTTAATTGTGGATGCCTAAATTATTGCGTTCATTGCTTAATACCATGAGGAACATTGCAAGGAATTGGGGTTCCAATTGGGGATTAAAGGGTTAGCCTTGCAAGGAATTGAGGGTTAACTAATAAATATTTTTAGATAATAATTTATCCGAGTAATTATATGAATAAATATTGTGAATCAATCCAAAGTAAGAAGTGGGGATCATATGGTGAGTGCGCTCTAGCTACAATATTTTTCTCATATTTTTAAAATTAAATCTCATTGTTATTGTTTTATTTCTCTTAAATAAAAATATAAAAACAAGTCTTCATTTTTATTTCATATTGTTACTCGAATTCAATTCACAATTTTCCAAACAACAAACCGAGTTTTCCAACTTAAGGGGACTGGTTATTATAGTACTTGGTTTACAATCCCTGTGGAGACGGTACTCTACTTACTTCTATATTACTTGTGCGATCGGTATACTTGCCGGAGAGCATCAGTCATGTAAGAATTTCTTTCTTTGTTGCCATGTGAAGTCTTCTGCAATTTCTCCTGCTGCTTTGAAGTTTACAAAGTCTGCGAACCAAGGAGGTGTACTTGTGGTATTTGCTTCCTTCGGTTGCGGATCCGATATGACATTGATAGCCATGATTTTCTCATCCGGAAACTCCTCTTTAATCTTCAGCTCAGGTTCGTCTTGAAGATCTTTTTCTTGAATTCTGGAGAGGTGATCAGCTACTAAGTTTTCTACACCTTTCTTGTCTCTGATCTCCACTTCAAATTCTTGAAGGAGTAGCATCCACCTCAATAATCTTGGCTTTGCATCCTGCTTATTCAACAAATACTTTAAAGCAGCATGATAAGTGTAAACAATTACTTTAGACCCCAGCAAATACGGTCTAAATTTATCAAATGTGTAGACAACTGCTAGTAACTCTTTTTCAGTGGTTGCATAATTTTTTTGTGCATCATTCAGAATTTTACTAGCATAATAAATCACATGCAACAATTTATTCTTTCTTTGTCCTAAGACAGCTCCTATAGCATAATCACTAGCATCACACATTAATTCAAAAGGGAGTGTGAAATCAGGTGCAGTGATAATAGGTGCAGTGGTCAATTTATCTTTTAAAATATTAAATGCAACCAGACATTCTTCTGTGAAGTTGAATTCCTCATCCTTGACCAACAGATTGCATAGTGGCTTTGCGATCTTGGAAAAGTCTTTGATAAAGCGTCTGTAGAAATCTGCATGACCAAGAAAACTTCGAATACCTTTAACGTTAGAGGGAGGGGGAAGTTTCTCAATAACAGATATCTTAGCTCTATCCACTTCTATACCAGCTTGGGGCATTTTATGTCCTAAAACTATGCCATCTTTCACCATGAAGTGGCATTTTTCCCAATTTAAAACAAGATTACTCTCTTGACATCTTTGTAAAACACTAGATAAATTTTCTAAACAGATGTCAAAAGAGGGACCAAAAACAGAAAAGTCATCCATGAAGATCTCAATGGATTTCTCAATCATATCAGAAAAGATAGAAAGCATACACCTTTGGAAAGTTGCATGAGCGTTGCACAAGCCGAAGGGCATCCTCCGGTAAGCGAAGACTCCGTAAGGGTAGGTGAATGCTATTTTTTCTTGATCTTCTGGAGCTATTGCTATTTGGTTGTAGCCTGAGTACCCATCAAGGAAGCAGTAGAAGGCATGGCCAGCTAGTCTCTCCAACATCTGGTCCAAGAAAGGTAAGGGAAAATGGTCCTTCCGAGTGGCTGTGTTAAGTCTTCTATAGTCAACGCACATCCTCCACCCGGTGACTGTCCTTGTTGAAATCAACTCATTGTTCTCATTCTTCACCACGGTGACTCCACCTTTCTTAGGTACCGTTTGTACAGGACTTACCCATGCATTATCATATATAGGGTAGATCATACCTGCATCCAATAATTTTACTACTTCTTTCCTAACCACTTCTTTCATGGTTGGATTGAGTCTCCTTTGTGGCTGCCTCACAGGTTTCATATCATCTTCCTTTAGAATTCTATAAGTACAAAAGGAAGGATTTATACCTTTTAGGTCGGAGAAGGACCATCCTATAGCAGCTTTGTGTTTCTTCAGCACTTTGAGAAGCTTTTCTTCTTCTGCGGTTGTTAGCTCAACATTGATGTTGACTGGATATGTGTTGTTGTTACCTTTGGTGCTCCAAGAGGGATGTCATCTTTCTTTCTTTCAAGTTCTTCCACCACTGGTTCTTTATCAGTTACTACTTCTTCGTTGATTTGTTCTAACTCAAGCGGGGAATTCTCCTCTTTCATAGCATCACCAATTGCTTCTTGTATTATATCTATCATAAAATAGTCTTCTCTGTCTGTTGGATGTTTCATTGATTCGAAGACGTCAATGGTGATTGTTTCTTCGTTCACCCTCAGCATTAGTTTTCCTTGCTCCACATCAATCATTGCCCTTGCGGTGGCTAAGAATGGCCTTCCAAGTAAAAGGGGAATTTCGGTGTCTTCTTCCATATTCAGAACTACAAAATCTGCAGGGAAGATAAATTTGTCAATTTTAACTAAAACATCTTCAATTACCCCATCTGGTCGTCTGATTGATCTGTCAGCTAACTGGAGAGAAACTGTAGTTGGCTTGAGCTCTTTGATTCCAAGAGCTTTGCACATGGACAGTGGCATCAGGTTGATACTTGCTCCCAGATCACATAATGCTTTTCCAACTTCAATGTTTCCTATTTAAATAGAAATACTGAAGCTGCCTAGATCTTTCGGCCTGGGAGGAAGTTTCTTCTGGATGATTGCACTGCACTCCTCTGTCAAAGCCACTGTTTCGCATTCCTTCAACTTGTGTTTCTTTGATATAAGGTCTTTCATGAACTTCGCATAGTTCGGCATGATTTCCAGGGCTTCTGCGAAAGGAATGTTGACTTGCAGCTTCTTGAAGATGTCCAGAAATTTGTTGTATTGTTGTTTCTGGACTTCTTGATTCAACCACTGAGGGTATGGAACTTTTTCATAAGGAGGCGGGTCTGCTGCTTTTGGTTGTCTGTCCAAAGCTTTCTTTTTCTCCCATTTGAATAGCCTCCTCTCTGGAATGCTCTTCTCGGCTTCTACTTCATCTTCTTCTTTATCTTTCTCAGCTTCAGGTTCAGCTTCAAGTTCGACTTCAGGTTCGGCTTCTTTCTTCTTTTCAACCGGTGGCTTTTCCACAGGCTGAATCACGATCCCACTTCTTGTGACAATTGCATTACATTGTGCCTTTGGGTTCGTATCGGTGTTACTTGAAAAGGTGCCATGAGTTCTTTCAGTGAACTGTCTTGCTAGCTGACCAATTTGAGTCTCCAGGTTCCGGATCGAAGCTTCTTGATTTCGGAATGAAGCTCTTGTTTCATCTCTGAAGGCATCTGTATTTTGAATGTAGTCGGATCTTGTTTTGGATAGCTGTGCAAAGGCCTTCTCCCATTCTGATGTGGTGCCTTGAGGTTGTTGTTGCAATGGCATAGGAGGATTCAGCTGGTAGTTTGACTTGTAACTCAACCCAGGGTGTTGGTTATTATTTTTCCACCCTTGATTACCATATTGATTCCTTCCTCGATTGTTCGGGTTCTTTTGATCATACCAGAGTGCATTGACCTCCGCTGGTGGTTTTTATGTGTTTCTGATGTATTCACAATCCTTAGTTGCATTAGCCTCCTGACAAATATCACATTTAATGTTAGAATTAGAAACAGAAGAAACTTGAGAAAGATTAAATTTCTTATTAAGAGCATCTAATTGTTCTTGTTGTTTCTTGTGCATTTGTAGCATTTGTTCATTCTGGGCAAAGAGTGCATCATAGCCTTCAAGCTTCATGATCCCTGATCTTTTGGGTGCAACTGGAGTAGGAGCATTGTCAAATTCTTGAGATGCTAATGATTCCAACAATTCAAGTGCTTCCTCAGGAGTTTTTGTTTTCAATGAGCCTCCTGAAGCGGCATTTACCAATGTTCTTGTGTTGGATGTCATCCCTTGGAAAAAGATTCTTGCCTTCTCCCATGCTTCAATTCCGTGTTGAGGACACTTCCTGAGTAATCCTTTGAATCGTGTCCAAGCCTCGTACAAAGATTCGCTTTCTTTTTGTTCAAAAGCTGTGATCTCCGCCTTGAGCCTAGCCATCTTTGAAGCTGAGAAAAATCTGGCCAAGAATTTCACGGCTAAGTCATCCCAACTGGTTATGCTTCCTTTAGGTTGAGACTGCAACCAATCTCTTGCTTCATCTTTCAGTGAGCATGGTAATAGCCTGACTAATATAGCATCAATTGGAACTCTATTTACTTTTAATGTATCACAGTAAAGCAAAAAGTCATCAAGATGACAATAGGGGTTCTCTGTGCTTCCACCAACGAACTGTTCTTTTTGAATCAGTTGCACTAATGCCGGCTTTAGTTCCAAGTTGTTAGCCTCTATGTTGGGTCTAACAATGCTCGCTGTCTGTGAAGCTCGAGTTGGGGTCATGTAATCCCCAATGTCCTTCGAACGATTTGATTGTTGTTTTCTGCCATTGGTTCCTCCTTTGGCTCTTTCTTTGGTTCCGTCAAAGTTTATGCTATTTTTGTGTCTTTTGCTTTCTTTGCTTTTGCGTCCTTCCTAAGTTTCCTTTCTGTCTTTTCTATCTCAGGATCAAACTGCAAGGGTCGCGGGTTAAGAGTACCTCGCATAAACAAAGATTGAAAAGATGTGCAGAAAAAATAGAAAACGCAAAACAGAAAACAGAAAATTAAAGAAAAGAATGCAGAAAATTAAATATGCAGAAAAATATGTAGAATTTTTGTATGCAAAAAATGTTTTTATGGTATGCTTCAAGTGCAGAAAAGTAAAAGCTCAATCTAAAATTTAATTAGTTACTTCTAATGTTGAAGAATTTGATCCCCGGCAACGACGCCAAAAACTTGTTGCGACTCGGCAAGTGCACTGATCGTGAAAGTAATAAAGTGTACCGGAGTACAAGATCGTTCCCACGAGGATCAGAATTTTCAAGCACTAGTTCGCTAATCGCATTTTAGTTGGACAATCAAAAGTTGAGTTTAAGAGAATTTAGATGAAAAGAGTTGTGGTTCAAAGAACATAAAATTAAAAACAAGTAAAGGCATGCGATATGAAAATTCAGAATTAAAAGAATGAATGATGATGATGTTTGATTGAAATTTAAACAAGCGTAGTTAAGGTTTCGACTTCCCCCAATATCCTCAATATGTTATGAATTAAAAAGCCAAGAATTTGTTTCTTAATATATTACCAATCAATTCTCTCTGAGTTAATTACGGTTCAATTCCTTGTTACAATAAATCTATGTAATCTTGAAAGAACTCTAGTTCCCCGATTATTCCTCAAGAAAAACATGCATTAAGATCAAGAATTACAAGATTGCATAATTACTTTATGTCTATTCCTATTCCTATTACTAGATCACAAGGATTATGATAAATTATCAAGTCAAGGTTCATGCACCAACATCCTTATTGTCATACAATTCCCTAAAATCATTCTATAAGGAACGAACTCATAGAAAGCAATAAAGACAGATAATTTATTCAATTATAAAAAGAACAGGATTCAGAGACAATTTAATTCATAAACATAAAGATTCAATTGGATTCTATCTACCCTTAACTACATAAAAGACTACTCTAGCATACTGAATTGAAAAGAAATAATAAAGAAAAGAGAACCCCAAGCCTCCATTGGTGTGATGTTGACTTGGTTCCTCAGTGTTCTAGCGCTCCGCAACAGGATTCCTCCTTCCGTCTTGGTGTAATGCTCTGGAATTGTGAATTGGTGTTTTGGTTCTGCTCCCAAGCTCCTTATTTATAACCATAGGTGTTGTATCCATCATTAAATCTCCTAATGAATCCATATCAGATTTGTATTTGATTCCATATTTGTTTCCTTTTTGCATGTAATATCTTGGAGATTTGGTTGATGAATTAGAGCTTCAAATATTTGTCGTATCTTCAACATATCTTCTCATTGGAGTTATATCTTATTTCAAATCATGGCTGAGGTGTTTCCTCCATGTATCTTTATGGAATCTGCTTGCATATCTTGATCAAATCTTTCCTGGAGTTGGCTTGACTGTGTATGGACATTTTAGCGTGCTGTTTGTACGCTAAAATGTTCTTGATGTGTATTCTTGTTAGCCTTCACACATTTTGGCATCCAGTATCACGCCAAAACATTCTCTTCGAATGGTTTTGGTTATTTTTTGGACGTTTTGCCGTGCTGTTGTGCACCAAAACGTTCTCCTCCAGAGGAAATGGTGTTTTTCTTCCTTTTGTGCGTTTAAACATGCTTCATGGACGCCAAAACGTCCTCCTTCAGCAGGTACACACTTGGAATCTTGCTTTCTTGTGACTTCAACTCATTTTGATGTCTTCCTTTGGTTCCAAAATGCCATAATAGGTGTCGAAAACCCTTGCAAATCAGCATTACGACAACATGTTAGCAAGATATTCAATTACTGTAACTTTACAGTATACAACCCTAATTTCCATGCAATTCACAACATATATCAATCATAATTAAGCCTAAAAACATGGTAAACCAAGGGTTTATCACTTTCGCTCCTACATCAACACGCATCCTAATCCATACTTGGATGCATCACAATAGATCTCAAATCTCTTTTTCGGACCAGGAAGAATGAAAACCGGTGCGGTAGTCAACTTATCTTTCAATTCTTGAAAGCTCACATCACACCCCAAGGGTCCATGCAAATGGCACCCTATTTCGGGTCAATCTAGTCAATGGCAAGGCGATCCTAGAGAATCCATTAATAAATCGCCTGTAGTATCCTGTTAAACCCAGAAAACTCCAGATTTCAGTAACACTCTTGGGTCTTTCCCAATCTAACACCGCTTCTATTTTACTCGGATCAATAGCCACTCCTGCAGATGAAATGACATGTCCAAGAAACTGTATCTCATGCAACCAAAACTCACACTTGGATGGTTTGGCATGTAACTGATGCTCCCTCAAAATTTGTAAGACTATCTTCAAATGCTCTGCGTGCTCTTCTTTACTCTTAGAGTAGATCCGAATATCATCAATAAATACCACTACAAATTGATCTAAATGTGGTTTGAAGAATCGGTTCATATAACTCATGAACACGGTTGGGGCATTAGTAAGCCCAAATGGAATCACTAAATACTCATAGTGCCCATATCTGGATCGGAAAGCCGTCTTCGGAATATCCTTTGCCTTTTCCCGGATCTGGTGATATTCAGAACGAAGATCAATCTTCGAGAACACTGAAGCACCCCTAAGCTGATCCAACAAATCATCGATGCGGGGTAGAGGGTACTTGTTCTTCACTGTTACTTTGTTTAGTTGTCGGTAATCTGTGCACAATCTCATAGTACCATCCTTCTTCTTCACAAAAATGACTGGTGCACCCCAACGAGATACACTCGGTCTGATAAAGTTCTTGCGGGATAATTCTTCTAACTGCTTCTTCAACTCTGCTAGCTCCACTGATGACATCTTGTATGGAGCCAATGAGATAGGCCCCACATCAGGTACTAAGTCAATTGAGAATTCAATCTCCCTCTCAGGTGGAAAATGGAGCATTTCTTCCGAAAATACATCTTCAAACTCGCATACAACCTGAATATTGGCAGTAGGTTCTTTGGAATCTCCTACAAGTCCTCCCAGAATAATGTATCCTGCATCTCCCTCATTTAAAGCCTTATTTAATTGCAGTGCCGACAAGTACAAACTGTCCGGCTTCTCTCCTTTTGCAGCAAAGAAAACCCTTCTGCTACAACAATCAAGCATCACACCATATCGAACCAACCAATCTATACCTAGGATGATGTGTAGATCCATGCCCTCAAGCACTATCAAATCCACCATATACTCTTCCTTCTCAAATATGAATCTGACTTTTTTGCACTTCAAAGAAGTAGAAACAATGTCTCCGGTGACAGTCTTCACTACCATGGGAGGCGTGAACTCATGAATGGGCAAATGTAACCCATCAGCAACAAATTCAGATATGAAGGAGTAGGTAGCCCTGGAATCAAAAATGGCATCAAAAGCATATCCTCTGATAAGAATAGTAACTTTGATCAATTTGGGAGACCTTTTTACCTCCTGCTGTGTCACCGCATATACCCTGGCACTAGTGGGCTCCACAGGCTCCTCTATGGCTCTCTGAGTACGCACGGCCTAAATGGGAATCGCCTGAATGGCAGAAACTTGCCTCGTCCTCTGGGGGCATTCCCGGGAATAGTGTCCAGCCTGACCACAACTGAAACAAACACTTTACCCCAGTCTACAAACACTCGGATGTATCTTCCCATACTTGGCACAACTGGGGATCTTTCCTGCACCAGGCTTGCCGCTTCCACTCTTCACAAAAGGAGTCTTTTCAAACTTGTTTCCCTGCTGCACTTACAAACCTTTCCCCTTACCCTTCCAGGGCGTAGTCCTCCTACTGAAGCTCTTCCCAGCTGCTTCCTTACCTCTGGTACGATAGTACTCCTGTATGTCCTGGCATTGCTTAATCAATGACACAAAATTCCTGGTGCAATGGCTAGCCAGCTTTTCTGCTATCATCTCATTCAAGCCCTTTTTGAATCTTTAGGCTTTTTCTTCTCGAGTGAGAGAAGCTCTACCATAACAAGAGTATTTTTCCAAACGGTTGAACTTGCTCAGATATTCATCCACTGTCATGCCTCCCTGTCTGAGGTCCTCAAATTCACTTCTTTTCTTTTTCCTTGCTTTCTCCAGGAAATATTTCATCAGAAAATGTCTCTCCAAGAGTGGCCAAGTAATAGCATACCCTTGGCACTCCAGTGGGTGCCTGACATTGTTCCACCAATCAACTGTGTCTCCTTGTAACATATACACAGCATACAGAAGCTTCGTGTTGGCAGTACACTCCATAACCTAAAAAATATGCTCCATCTCTTGGAGCCACTCTAGTGCTGCAATAGGATCCCTCTCACCTTTGTAGTGAGGTGGGGAATGATTCCTGAACGCATTCAGCATACGCTATCTGGTTTCCCGGTCAAACATGGGTGGCACGACTGATCTATCAACCTCTATCACTAGCTGCCTCTCACGTCCCCCATGGATGGATTCCTCTGCCTCCTGATGGGCCTCTCCTCTCCCTTCCTGTCTCAGCACGACAAGCTCGAGAATCGGCATGAGATCATCAACACGTGCAGCCAGTTGCTTGACCGATGGTGTAATTGGTGCTACAGGAGTTGGTGAAGGTGGTGGAGGTGGTGGAGGTCCACCTCATACCTCAGTCAGCAGTTGTCTAATCATCTCGGCATTTGCCAATCTGCTTTGGGCTATCAATTCCTCATTAGCTCTTCTCATTTGCTCCATATCCATCTCGCGAGCCTCTTCGATTCTTTTCAAATCAGCATCCCTGGTTTCATTCAGGGTCTGCTGTAATGCTGCTATAGCTGCAGCAATAGGATCAGGGGGCGGGTTTTGAACTG